TTTCCTGTACCACCTGGCTCAACGACACTGGACTCGTTGGCGAAGCGCACACTTAATGATACCTCACTAACCAATACACAAAGGAGCTCTGCAGCTCTTCAAAGAGGCTGCTTTTAGCTGCCTCGTGGAGAAAACATCGGATTGTGATTGGCCCGTGGCGAGAGACGTTTCCCCGAACCGTCGCGCCTTTTGGACAAGGCGCCGAAGAGCCGTCGCGCACTGGGATTGGCGCCGAATATTTGCGGCGGCTTCTGATTGGTGCCCAAGTTTTGTTCCCGATCTAAGCCAGAGCATGCACATTGACCTCAGTATTCAACCACCGCACTCGAGCTCACCCTCGCAGTACCACTTATTGAACGATGAAGGTTATCCTCCTTGGCTTGGCGGCCGCTGCGGTTGCCACAGACCAAACCAACCGTGCGACGTATGGTAAACAACCTGCCTATGGCGCGTACAAGCCCCCGTCGCAGCCCGCCTACAACCGTCAACCCAGCTACAACCAAGATGGCTACGGCAAGCAGCCCGCCTACGGCCACAACGTCGACGACAAGCAGCCGGACTACGGCTACGGCAAGCAGCCCAGCAATGGCTACGGTGACAACCACGGCTATGGTGACTATAGCGGCGACATCGAGACGGCGCCCATCTCGGACGAAGACCGCTTCCGTCGCTTCTACGACAACCTGAAGATCTGCAAGGCCGAGAACGCGCTCGAGAGCTGCATCATCTCGTCTGCGTCCCGCGCCGACTGCATGAGTGCGGCGCGCATCAAGCAGTGCACGTCGTCGTTCATCACGGGTCTCTGCTCCGACTTGGAGACGACGACGACCAAGGCGTTCGACAACGGCTACGTCAAGTGCTCGGCCGACACGTGCACGGACGCGGCGCTGGCCGACTCGCTCCTCGTGTACAACAAGCTGCTCCGCGACGTCAACACGGCGCTGGACGTGACGCCGCAGTTTGACCAGTGGTCGTTCACAACGATCAAGCTCGCCCTCGCGAGCACGCGCAACCACGCCGACTGCGTCATCAAAGGGTTCCTTAACTACCTCGACGGGTGCGCGGCGTCGTCTGAACTGCCCAAGCGCGACCTTGTGTGCCTCGACGAGGCGCTCAACAACGGCAAGTGCGAGTGGGGGCGTGAGACCGCGGACGGCTGGAACTTGGCGCAGTTTCTCAAGACGTACGGCCAGGTGGCGTTCAACAACGTCGTGTCGTCGATGCAGCACCGGTTCGGCGTCTCGAACGAGCGTGGCATCGACAAGGCGATCACGGAAGTCCTTCTCAGCGTCATGCAGGAGTCGACGCAGGTCGTCCAGACGGTCAACACCAAGTACGACTTTACAAACAAAGTGACGTCGGTCGACGTGTGTGCGGTGACGCTGCCCGAGTACCAATTGGACGCGGAAGACGGCACGGACGTTAGCACGGTGCTCTTCCACTTTGCCAAGACCGAGCAGGACGCGTTCAACTCGCTCGTGTACGGCGAGACCGTCTACGACAACCGTGCACCGGACGACACGACCAAGGTCAACTTGTACGACAAGTGCGAAACGTTTTTGCGGAGACGAAGAAGGCCTTTGTCCAAGGCAAGGGCAAGGACTGGACGTGCGTTACTGGAATCACGTTCCCGATGCGCATCAATGACGACGGCGACGTCGAGTGCATGTCGACGGACGGCAAGAACTGCCTGTCGGAAGGTGAGGATTGCGAGGCCAAGATCACTGCCATGGACGACGCCACCTTGAACCCGTTGGCGTGCGGCGCCGACCACGACGCCGAGCATGGCTTTACGGGGTACCTCGACACGACCCACTGGTGCAACATTGGCCGCCGTGAGCTCGGCAACCAGGGCGACAAGTGCTTTACGTACAGCGGGTACTCGATCTTCTTCCTCGAGTCGGGCGAGACGCAAGATCTGACGCTTGAAGCGATCCCGGAGTCCCCGAGACGTGCCGCACTGCGTCGTGGCATGAGCCCAAGTCGTGCAGCTCTCACTTGACGCAGTGGCAGATGCACGTCGGCTGCTGCAAGAGTTACGCTACCGTTCTTCAGGAGCTCCAAGACACGTGGGCCGCCAAGTATGAGAGCCGGTACGAGACCGACTACCACTACCGCGGGTACAAGCCGACCAAGAACGCGCCGACAGACGAGCACTACCGCACGCTCTTGGAAGAAGACACCCTCTTGGAAGAAGGCGGGTACAGCAAGGCGCCGACCAAGCCGACCGTGGTCTCGCCCAAGTACGACTGCAAGAACGCTGCGTACGAAGCCACGATCTTGTCGCGCGCGGCCGAAGTGACGAAAGACACTTACTTTGGACAGCTCACCGTGCGCACGGGCGATGCCTCGACGACGACGAACGACATTGACAACGTCAACAAGGCGCTCAACGAAGAGCTCGAGGAGTGGTTCCACCGCTGCACCAAGCTGCACGACGACTACGGCCACGAGGTCTCCACGTGGTGCCTCTCGATCCACGAGTTCTGGTACCCCAAGTGCACGGCCACACCCACCGACACGTCGGTCGCGTGCCCGACTGCGATCCAGGCTTGGTACGCTGCCCACCCCGACGCGGAGGCCCTCCCACAGCCAGCATCCACGTACGGCGCGACGCACAATGACGCGGCGACGCCTGTCTACGAAAACACCGACACCGTCTACTCTAACCACCGCCAGCACACGTGCTACATGGCGGCGAGTCCGGCGTACGTCGACGTCTGCGACTCGCTCCACGTCAGCTGGGACATTGCGACCGTCGTGCCGATCGTGAGTACCAAGTGCTTTCCGCAGTCGTGCGTCCTCGCGCAGCTCTCGCAGTGCATGGACATTCCCGAGCCGACATACATGGCGATCGGGTACGACTATGTCGCGGAGCCGACGGACGACTACAACGGGTACCGCCCGTCGAGCTACCAGCGCCCGTCCAGCTACGCCACGTACAACCAGTACTCACGGGCGACCTTGCGAGTGCGTCGACAAGCTCGTCGTATTTGGCTACCTTGGGCTTTGTCGCAGGTGTTGTCGTCGTTGTCGTCGCGCAGGTCGTTCTTCGCAAGCCAAAGGCGGCCGAGGCAACGTACAAACTCGTATAGACAAATTCTATATAAAGAACTATCGACAGTATAACCCTTAATGTCAATGCACACTTTACAATTGCAAACCACAATCCTCTGTCGGCGTCTCCAATCGAGTTGAGGGTAACAGGTGCGGGGTGAGCTGGTAGGGACTTTTGAATGCGAAGCGTTGTATACCGGTGTTTGCGACGACGGCGCGTTGGCCTAGACAAAAGTCAACACGCGACCGTCGCTGCGCTGCGGTGCGCAGACTTTTCCCGGGCCAACGCGCCGTCGTCGCCTTCTGCAGCCTTCGCGCGCTTTCACATTCGCACCTAATCGGAAAGTTGCGTGAATTTCAGTCAAGTGCTCCGTCCTACAAAATTGTTTAACTTTATTCAAGTATATCGTCCGGCGATGTGACAGCACTTCACAGGAATTTATAATTCGCACTTAACAGGACGCATTTGGCGCGATATGATTGACTCAGACTAATATAACTGCTTTTTATTGGTCAAATGGCTTGATATACAGCCAATGGGTTGGCCAGAATGTACGAATTAATCCCCTGGGATGCTGGTACACCACTTAAGAGCATCTCCACCGGTACCCCGTATCCTGCTCTGGCTCTGGCTTTTACAGTGTGATTTCTCCCTGTATCGCCGGATACAGCGCGCTAAAGAAAAAATGCCCCACCTGTCGCCCTGTAAAAAGATGCAGGGAGTCGCGAAATGTATAGCTTCGATAACTACGAACTTCGTCTAGATATTCGATTTTGTATTTATTTTTTGACTGGTATACAAACAGCAAGTAATTTAGAGTTTTACAGGGTAAAAAGCCAGAGTGGCGGCGAGCCCTGCATCGCGCTCCAATTTGCCAATTTGCAGGGACCTCGGCCAATTTTTGCTCCTCCCTGTAAAAATTATACAGATACAGGGCGATTTACAGGGTGGGGCGTTTCCCCGGTAAATTTTTGAAATTTTAAAGAGCCAGATAGAGATAGCGCGGACGGGTGGAGAAGCTCTAAGCACGTAAACGTTCCTACCAGGATAAAGAACAGGTATGGCGCTGCTTAGACAGCCTAAACAGCGACCAATGTCACGATAGAGGTTGAGAGACGCCGCATTCGTCTCAGGTATCTTCAACGATGATCTCCAAGAATTGATGAGTATATTCTCACAGGAGGTGTTTTTGAATCTTTGCTCGCACTTGATCATTTCACGCCCCCTTTCCACCTGCCTTGCATGCTTTTGCGCTGTTAAGCTCGTGTTGTGTTCTCGCCTGGGTTGAGCCTTGCGCAGTGCTACTGCTAAGTCTCTTGGAGGTCAAGTAAACCGAGGATGGCGTCGCTGTCTCCCGCCCACGTCTTAGATGCCTCGTTCCGATTCACGTTTGGAGCCGCCACCACACAAATCCAGCGGACCACTTGACGCCGTCACGAGAGTCATCAACTCGACCAGCATAGTCTTGCCCAGAATGAGGATTGACGCTCCGATGTTGCTCAAGAAGCCTCACAGATCCGGCGCAGAATTGAGAGGGCTGCATTGACAACAGGAGGCGTCAGTCCAAAAGTACATACTCTGGCACATCGACCGCCGCACATTTCTACACTTTCAACGCACATTTGTTTCCGTTCACCGCACTAGTTCTTACGCCGCTCTACCGCTCAATCAACGCTACGGTGTATATCATCTCGGGCCACATTGCTGCGAGCAGTGACCTCATCGACGTGGGAGCTCCAAGAAGAGTGCACAATCTGGGCCAACAGCCCATGCTCGTTCTACACGACAGCATCTCTTCTTGTCGTCGGCATTATTGGCATGTGGAATGGCTGCCAACGGTAGCTCGCCACGATACTGATTTGGCTGGATATGCCGGCGCCACGTTTTGAAACCGGGCGGTTTCACTTTGTGTCGCATGTCCTTTCTGCGCTGCATCGCGTCGGCCACGTGCTGGCGACTCGTGCTGGCACTGGTCGTAGCCACGCTCGCACAGAAGAACAATGCAACGACCCAAGCCAACGAGTTTGTCGTACGGCGCTGTAGCAACTCTCGGTGCATCATGTGCGCTTGATAGAACGGCAAGGTCCGCAGCGATGGCATCGAGTACGCGTCCTTTGACGGTACGTGCTTGTACCATCACCACGGAAATCTTATGGTGCGCCTCGGTCAGTACGCCCCGGCACGGCGCAGGTCGTGCTGACGTTTGCGCGCAGCGACCTCCACGGCCGCGTGCCCCCCGTGCTCTTGCTCAAGCACGGCAGTCTCCCGACAACAACCGACTACGACGTTCGCTTCAACGGCACGTCCGAGTCGTACTGGCTTGCGCAGACCATTCCTGACCTCCGCGTAAGCCCTTTGTGTGCAGAACGGCTTTAGATGTCGCTCGTAGCTCGGTCGCTACTTTATTGGTGTCTGGGGGGGCGCCCTCGAGAGCTCGATCATGGACTTTGGCATGGGCCCGACCACCAATGTATGGTATCACCTCGTTCTGCAATTCCAAGGGTGCCTCGACACGACCCACCTCGGTGCGCGCATCCGAGTTTAGATGCAAATTGCACGATGTGCCATACGCTAGGCTCCGAGTGTGCCTACTTTGCTTGGCCCCTCGTGGCCTTTGCACCAGAAGAAACCAGCGCCGTCGTCAACGCCGCCCAAGTTGCAAGCACCTCCTTGCCAAGTGCGAGCGGGTGCTTTGACCCGAACCAGTTCATCGCGTTGTATGCGCTCACGCTTACGCCCGAGGCATCCTTCGCCGTTGACGTACGTCCGATGACGAAAAACAGATGGTGTCGAACCGATGCCTAGATTTCCCTCGCCAAGGCTCCGGGAACACCCCAATCGTTCTTTTATGCGCTCTTCCACGACCGCGCCAACCCGCTGGATGCTTCAACAACGGCATTCCTGAGCGGTCAGGGTGCCCTTGGACGCCGCAGCTACCGCATGAATGTTCTGTCACCCCCCGAAGGGTCGTCGGACGGTGCTTGAAATGGAAATGTCATCCGAGTGCTATAGGGTGTGGTACCTCTTGCTCTACCTCGACACCCCCGACATGACGCTTTGTTCCAACGCTCGCGGTGTCAAGTTCAACGTCACGTACACCGTCCAGGTATTCTCTCTCCTTATGCGCGCGACCAACAAGAAACGGTATATGATTTCGTGGATTAGGGTTGCACGGCTTCCTTGACCACTGTAAACGACTGCAACACCGACTGGGTCCAGCTCGACGAAATCATTGTCAACCCAACGCGGTCTCTAAGTGTTGTCGACCGATGGTACATGGCAAGCAACCCCGTGGTTTCGGTGCCCGTCACAGCGTCGACCTACGGCTTGGTTTGCGCGCCTTCGCACCAACGAACGACTCTCGAATGCAGTGTGTGCTTAGGGCTACACCATGCGACTCGCACCCGATATGGCGGGAACCAACCTCCTTTTTCACGTGATTGTACCGGCAACCTTTCCCATCGCATCGCTCGTCATGCTCGTCGGGGTCGACGAGTATCCGTCCGAGGCGCGCTATGCATATCGCTTGGACGGTGCCCAGGCAAGTGTGACACGTGGCGTGTCATCGAGTGTCGGCAGTGCGCTCACGAGTGAGAGCAAATTCGTGCAAGACGAGGTCGCGGCCGTCCATCGAAACGGCTCCGTCACGCTCTCGTGGCCCCCCCTGCGCTTCCCCCCGTCGGCACGTGGTACATTGCGGTTCAAACCACACACTCGACGTATGTTCCTGATTGATTTGCCCATGGTATCCATCAATATCTAGACCGTGGACGCAAGGACTTGTGCTCCAAGCCCAAGGCTGCAGCGACGACATGTGCGGAGACTCTGGCTACTGCGTCACCAAGACGACGTACCAGGGCCTCGTGTATTCTCGCTGTGTCTGCGCGTACGGTTATGCCGGACCGTTCTGCGATACAGTTACCATTGTGGAAGAGCAGTGGCACGGCTGGTTCCTCGTCATCACCAACGTGGCCATCGTCCCGGCGACCGTCGCTGCGATTCGGCGCCATCTTTATGGTACACTGCGCATGAGAATGTAGCATGTCCGAGCATTTATGTAGTGGAAGCGGTGCTATTTGGAGCACTCGGTGTCGCGTCCAGTTTGTACCACGCGTGCGACCTCAACTGGTTTTGCGCGCTGCCGTTTTCAGCTCTCCTGGTACGCTTCCAGATCTGGAGCCGTCGCACACACGTGCAAGTAGAGCCTCGACTTTGGCCTCTCGTTCAACAGCATTCTGCTCTGTGTGTTTCACCTCTCTGGCGTGAGTCCCCGTGCCAAGGTCGGTTGAAATCCTAGTTTTGAAGCTCATGGACAACGGTGATGGTCTAGGCCATCGCCCAAGTGGTCGGTGGTGTCATGCTCATCGTTCTCCTTGCCATCAACCCCACAGCGCCCATCAACCTCGTGCTTGTCGGTTGCCTTGGTGCTGGCCAGCTCCTCATCGCGTGGACAGGCTACGTACGTACTCATTTGCTGCGTCGTAAAATCCATGGCTGATCCCGATGTATGCAGTTTGTGATTGCAGCCTACCGAACGCGCTGGCGTGTTTCGTTCTACACGTACGACGAAAGAGCTAACGTGCGAGGAACTGACATGTCGCATAGCATCGGCAAGCTCTTTGTCTTCAACAGTGACAACTTTAACCTGCGAATGGTCGGCCTCGGATTGATGCTCTGGCTTGGAGCGCTGCTCTGCTGGTTCTTCAACTCGTCTCCGTCCTACTGGCTGGTACGTGAACGATGCGCTCTTGTTGGTACGACGCTTCTCGTGCGTAGCTTCACTCGCTCTGGCATCTCTGTGCCATGTCGGCGGCCGGTGCCTTCGTTGTCGCCAAGCGCGCAAGCACGTATCGCATCATTGACAGCAACGGTGCCGATCTCCTCCGCGCACTGCCGGAAGCCAAGCCGTCGATGCGCAACGTACTGGTGGCGCCGCTACCGACCACAAATTCCGAGTCGCTCAAGGACACCAGTGCATCGTGCATCCTTGTCCTCGACGCGTAGCGTTCGTTTTCCGAAATGCACTTCGTATTTACGCATCAAGAGACTACACCTGGAAAGGCAGTTGGACAGCTACAACCACAAAATGGCATGGCGTACTTGTACGGCGGTAAAGGCTGGATAACAGCGGTGCAACCACGCCGCGTTGGAACACAACACTGCCAGCCATACGACGTTAAACAGATCCCGTGTGGCTCATCATGGGCGTGTCAGTGGTGTCCTTTAATGAAACAAACTTATTGATGGGAGTAGGACCTGCACATGAGTAACGGGTTTTGCAGTCGCAATGCAGTATAACTTTCCCTTATACGGCCTAGGATATACCTAGCGCGATGCGCAGTCATTGCAACTACGTCATCAATCGGCGAGACTCAAATTGCAAGGCATAAACACATTGACCATTCATGATAGAGTTACTGAAAGAAGGTGCTACGACCGAGCTTAGCCGAGGCGGTACGCTTTCCCAATGTCGCGCGTGTTGCGGGCCTTGAGCGCGACTTGCGCGACGGCGACAACGACGACACCCGCGACAAAGCCCACGGCCATGAGCACCGTCAACGACGGGCCTTCCATGCCCAAGGTCGCCCGTGAGTACTGGTTGTACGTGGCGTAGCTGGACGGGCGCTGGTAGCTCGACGGGCGGTACCCGTTGTAGTCGTCCGTCGGCTCCGCGACATAG